CCCCCCCAGTTGATTATGACCATGCTCTCTGCCTTCTTGAAATACAGAGAAGTGAATAGAAAAACTTACATTGAATTTTGTTGATAACATACTGGAATTGTAATTCTCTTACAATTTTAATTTTTCTGTTTATTTATGAGATTCTAAATCATTTGGGTTATAAGATTTGGTGACTGACTTTATTTGTGTTCTTACAGTTACTCGCTATCTAATTTCCACAATGTTTTGGTAAATTCAAAAATTGAGATGTGTAAAGCATCCAAGAAAGGCCAAAGAACTGACGACAATGAGCATTTTGAGACTCCTAAGGAATCGCAAGTTCTCCTAATCTTACAAAAGATTCATTTGTGCAAAGAAATTTGAATTAAGAATATTTATTTAAAAAAATATTTCCTTTTTTGGTTATTCCTTGCCTGCAATGAGCTGTAGCAATTGTTGTATTTAAATGAAATTGGTTACACTTAACATTTTGTTACTATATTTTATAAAAAAAGACACATTTTTTGCTTGTGATGATTTTAAAAGTCTAGGCAACAAACCTTTTTTTGTGGAACCAAACAATGTATAGTTTAATATTATCATCTCTTGTGCATTTGCAAATTATTTTACAACCATAAAGCAAAGGGGAAAAAAAAAAAAAAAATCTGAGGAGACTTGTGCCTTGGTCTTAAAAAATGTAATATTTTCCTCAGTTTTCAAATGAGGTGCTCAATAAAACAAATTAATTCTTCCTTGTAAAAAACATAGTATGTGAATACGTATTGGCAGATTTCTGCTGTTTCAGTAAATATATTTTCTTCTGTGTACTCAAAAGTTCTCATAAGTTAAGCACAAAAGTTCTAGGCATTTCTTCTAGAATATTCATGTCAATGTATGTTCTTTCTGTACACACTTTGGCATTTCCTTTCAGAGCTAATCATATTGATCCAGAGCGTCATTTAGTACAATTTGTGTTTTGAAACTTTCTCATTTCTCATTAGAAGAAACATTTATTAAATTAGATATAAGCAGAAAAACAGCATTGCTTGAAACAGTGTAAACTCTGTAAAAGGAAGAGGAAAAAATGTATTACAAAAAAATCTCCCTAGGTCTTCCTACAATTTTGTGGATTTATCTTAAATGCCCATGATCTATTGAGGTAACCTATGTATTAATATGCATCAACAAAACTGTCATGAAAGGAAATGCCTGCTCTGGCCCTAAAGTTTTTTTTATAAAAAGTTATCTTGTTTTTATTTTACAATATATCTGATATTTTCTCTTGTTTACAAATGACTTTATTTTATTTCAACAGAGCTGGATAGTTCCAGATTGCAGAGGAGAAGAAATGATTTCTATAAATATTTTATACAGCATGGAAATTACTTTTGTCATTTTTGTTGATATTGTTTCATTTTTGTTATAATTTGACTATTTTCTCCTTTTCCCCTGTTAACTTCCTAACCCATGTTTTTGTTATTTGATATAACGAATTAGTAAAGAAGTCAAGAAATAATTTTGGCCCTCCTTTGTTACAAAAAAATGTTCTCAGTAAAGCTGATTTGAAGAGTTCAATCTTCTTCCTCATGTTAACATAATTTCATAACTATAATAAATGATCTTCCTTTAGAAATATTTTTGCATATGCAAAAATTCTACCTTCAACATTTTACAGTTCTTTAATAACTTAGATTTTCTCTAAGATATTTCTTGTGAAGTTGCTTGAGTAAATCAAATATACACAATTTTACATGCACCGATTGTGAAGAGAGAACATGAAACCTTATTCTCTGAATGTTTAGCTAAAAATTCTGAAAGTTTCTTATCTTTCATTAATTTTTTCCAAGTTTACTTTTTTTGATTAGAATAGGAATTTCAATGAAGCTTTAAACTTTCAGAAGCCAATTATTGAGTTTCATGTGCAGTGATATGAACCTTGCATTCATCTAACCAATATTCTCTTCCCTGGCAACGCACACAGTTGTTCTTGGGAGTGGTGTTATCAGCTGTCGTGATCGTCACAGGATGCTTTTCATACTACCAAGAAGCCAAGTCCTCTGCGATCATGGAATCCTTTAAGCACATGGTTCCTCAGGTAAGAGGAGCCACAAAATGAACTAGGTACAGCTTGCAGCTGGCTGTAGCTTGATTTGCCACTAGGTGCTGTAGGTGTCTGTACCGCTGTAGTTCATATCAGTGTTTTGTGTGTGCTCTAACATGGTATCGGTGTTGTGAACCTCTTCCCTGATATTCCTCATGTAGAACAGTAGAAAAATCCTGTTTCCCAGTAGATGAAATATTCACTATGATATGATATTGGAATTTAACTCATTTTTCAAATTTTCTTCTTATATTCATTAGGCGTTTTTGGCCTTTTTGAGTGTAATTTTAATTTATACATTGGATTTCACTTGGTGAACAAAATTTTAATGTATAAATACTCAGTTAAAGTGAATATCATAGTTTTGTTCGCAAGCAAAATATTTCTGCAAAACTGCTTATTGTATCAAGTTTAAATTTCTTCAGATCTCACCTTTTATCATGTCATTTTCTCCAATTTCATGTCATATTGAATAAGCGTAATGTTGCCTGACCCATGTACATACACCCTGTTCCTTGTTGCTTACCTCTGCAGACAAAAACCAGGTCTGTGGAGGTTATTGGCCTCTGCATGAAACAGGTCTTGCTGAATCAACTTGCCGTAAAGGATCATTACCAGGTTACATCAGTCACAAGGGGTTGATTTTTAGTAAAGACTTCAGTATCTCAAAGTTCTGCCAACATCGCGTTTCAGTTGTACCTGGGCATAGTGCTGGCTGCTGTCGTCATCGTCACTGGTGTCTTCTCGTATTACCAAGAGAGCAAGAGCTCCAAAATTATGGAATCGTTCAAAAACATGGTGCCTCAGGTGAGTTTGTGAGATAGGTCAGGATTGTAGGACACTTCATCTCATTTATGCCCCGACCAAGTACACTATTATCACTTCTGTAGCCCCTGCTTTCTGAAATATCTTGCCCGGTTTCAGAAAATATCTCATTGTCTCTGTAATAGACCTACTTCATATGTTACTTGTATTATTAAAACTATTTTTGCTGATAAAACTCTACAGTCTATTCTCTTTCTTGAAATCTCATCCAGTAGTTTCTCTACAAAACTCTCTCGTACTTGTAAAAGACTTAATGAAATGAGCACTTCTTTTCATTCTGTACAAATGGGTGTTACTCTACTGTATGCAAAATACATTCTCATATTACACTTGTTAAATGCATCTCACTTTTGGATGTTTACCCAAGAAGTACGTAGGATGGTCATGGTAAGAGTATTTGAATGTCTGCATGAAAGTTATTGCGATGTCAGCTGTTCGGTGTCACGTGTTCAGTGTTTGATGTCTCAAGGCCGATGTTCTTTTGTGAATGTTGAATGTCGTAATCTTTACCTGCTGCCCCAATATGGATGTTTTATGTAGTGAAAAACAAGGGAACAAGCTGTCCAGCATATGGGAACCATCGGAGGTAGGAACACATTTGGACAGCTTGGTAGCACTGCCTAGTGCCTCCAGTACATAGATAGAAGAGGCAGTTAGTTTGCTAAACATATGGAGAGCACTAACTTAGATGATGTAGACACACTGTAGAAAGATTGTAGTAAATGTAGTTTTAAAGTGTGCTGTTGTGTGCTCTACACAGTGCTTCAAATTAGAACAGCAAATCTGTAGAGTAGGTCTGTAAAAAATGCTATTACATAGATTTGACAAATAAAAAGTTAATTGGTTTCTAACACTGGGAAATGGTTTAAAAAGATTTACAATTCTATTGTTATAATGTATTGCCTTATTTGTAATCTCAAATGTTTTGCACAGTTTGCAACAGTGCTTCGAGAAGGTGAAAAACTCACACTTCGTGCTGAAGACATTGTGCTGGGAGATGTTGTGGAAGTCAAATTTGGTGACCGCATCCCCGCTGATATCCGTATCATTGAATCTCGAGGCTTCAAGGTAGACAACTCCTCATTGACGGGAGAATCTGAACCTCAGAGCCGTGGACCGGACTTCACTCATGAAAACCCTCTGGAAACAAAGAATTTGGCATTCTTCTCTACCAATGCTGTAGAAGGTAAAATTCTGTATTGTCATAAGAGTAATAGACATGAATATTTAAATGATACACACTTACTATTTATTATGATAAAAATAAAAGCAAAAAATGTTCACCGCAATTTTTTTAAAAATTTTTTTTTATTAGATCCTAAACTCAATCTTGTGATTTTAAAAATGTTGTATGCTGTTACAGGTACTGCTAAGGGTGTGGTCATCAGCTGTGGAGACAACACTGTAATGGGTCGTATTGCTGGTTTGGCATCAGGTTTGGACACTGGTGAGACACCTATTGCAAAGGAAATTCACCACTTCATCCACCTTATCACTGGTGTGGCTGTATTTCTTGGTGTAACCTTCTTCCTCATTGCCTTCATCTTGGGATACCATTGGCTGGATGCTGTCATTTTCTTGATTGGTAAGTAGACGTTCTGGGCTTTTGTGTTTTATTTTATGTACTTCAAATTATAGGGATTCATGTTTCTCAAATATTTTATACAATTTTCTTTATTAATTTTATAAATATTTTTGACCTATTAATCACCGATTATTATTTAAGTGTCTAAAATGACTTGCCTAAAGAAGTTTTACTCATGCTATTGTGTTTAAATGTCCTCTAGGTATCATTGTAGCCAATGTGCCTGAAGGTTTGCTAGCCACTGTAACTGTGTGTCTCACCCTTACTGCCAAGCGAATGGCATCAAAGAACTGCTTGGTCAAGAACTTGGAAGCTGTAGAAACTCTGGGCTCCACATCAACCATCTGCTCAGATAAGACTGGTACCCTGACACAAAACCGTATGACTGTTGCTCACATGTGGTTTGACAACCAAATTATTGAGGCAGATACCACTGAAGATCAGTCTGGTAAGATAATGACTAAATTAATGTCCAGAATACTTGTTTTTAGGAAAATTGCAGTAAACTGATTTGCATGGAGTATATTGAAAACTTCAAAAAAAATTTTAGGTGTGCAGTATGATAGGACAAGCCCTGGATTTAAAGCTTTGGCTCGTATTGCTACTCTTTGCAACCGCGCAGAATTCAAGCCTGGCCAGGATGGAGTATCTATTCTGAAGAAGTGAGTAAATGACTGTTATTTTGTTAGATAAGTTGTGCATATGAAATGTAGTATAGTAAGCTTTTAGTTGTCAACGAGTAAATGCTAATTACTACCACTTTTCTCTAACAGGGAAGTGAATGGTGATGCTTCTGAAGCTGCTTTGCTGAAATGTATGGAACTTGCTCTTGGTGACGTTATGTCTATTCGAGCTCGCAACAAGAAAGTGTGTGAAATTCCCTTTAACTCCACCAACAAGTACCAGGTTTCCATTCATGAAACGGAAGATGCAAATGATCCTCGCCATCTGATGGTGATGAAGGGAGCTCCTGAGAGGATTTTGGATCGTTGCTCAAGCATTTTCATTGGTGGAAAGGAAAAAGTGTTGGATGAGGAAATGAAAGAAGCATTCAACAATGCTTATCTTGAACTTGGTGGTCTTGGAGAGCGAGTGTTGGGTATGTTTATTAAAAAAAAAATTCTCACAAGTGTTTTAGGGGGTGATCTTGAAATAATCCACAAATTATTTGCAGGTTTCTGTGACTTTATGCTGCCTTCTGACAAGTACCCTGTTGGCTTCAAGTTTGACGGTGAAGACCCTAACTTCCCCCTGAAGGACCTTCGTTTTGTGGGACTCATGTCTATGATTGATCCTCCTCGTGCTGCTGTGCCTGATGCTGTTGCCAAATGTCGATCTGCTGGTATCAAGGTCATCATGGTTACTGGTGATCATCCTATCACTGCCAAAGCTATTGCTAAGTCTGTCGGTATAATCTCAGAAGGTGAGTGGCCTAAATTAATGACACACAAATAATTTCATATCATGTTTAATATCTTGCAAGTATTAAACTATATTTACTTTTTCAGGTAATGAGACTGTAGAAGATATTGCGCAGCGTTTGAACATCCCTGTCTCAGAAGTAAACCCTCGAGAAGCTAAGGCTGCTGTAGTACATGGAACTGAACTCAGGGATCTGAATACTGACCAAATTGATGAAATTTTGAGGCAAGTTTTTTGAAAAATAAAGATGTTCCAAATAAAAAAAAAGTTTCCAGTGATACATATTTATGTTTTGATTTTCAGGTACCACACTGAGATCGTGTTCGCCCGTACTTCTCCTCAACAGAAACTAATTATTGTAGAAGGTTGCCAGCGAATGGGTGCTATTGTAGCTGTGACTGGTGATGGTGTGAATGATTCCCCTGCCTTGAAGAAAGCAGATATTGGTGGGTGTGGAAATAAATAATCTTCATCTTTAAGTAGGTTAATATTATTTTTGTTTGTAACATAATTTTGTACTTCCACAGGTGTTGCTATGGGTATTGCTGGTTCTGATGTATCTAAGCAAGCTGCTGACATGATTTTGCTGGATGACAACTTTGCTTCTATTGTAACTGGTGTAGAAGAAGGAAGATTGATTTTTGACAACCTGAAGAAATCCATTGCCTACACTCTGACGTCTAACATTCCTGAGATCTCCCCCTTCTTGGCTTTCATCCTCTGTGACATTCCCCTGCCCCTGGGCACTGTCACTATTTTGTGCATTGATTTGGGAACTGACATGGTGAGTCTGCTAATAGTTGCTAGCAGTTGCCTTGCTCATTCATTCCACAGGTTCAAAACTATGTCTTTGGAACTTGCTGTGAAAATATATTCAAACTGTAATATGCTTGAAACATAACACTGGTTTATTTTGCAGATTGCTGAAAAATGGTGGGAGAGAACTTATTTTTTATTTTTTTTACAGAATAGTCAAAAAGCTGATGTCCTGACATTATTTCATAAATGAATATTCTTGCTGGTTTTTTCGATTCAAACGTTTTACAAAAATTGGAGTTCGTGAGAAAATAGTCAATATTCCTATTCTCCTAATTAGCTTAATTAGCAAAGTTGCAGATTATGTTCCTGAATATGCTACTAGAAGATCGTTTTGGATTTCTCGCATTATTTTATTGTAGATGAAGCAGTAAATCCCTTCTTGCAATGTGAATTATTCATATTCTCAAAATCCACCCTGGAGGTTGAAATTGGTCAACTTCATTCTTCTATTATTCTGTTCTGTTTTAAAACATTCACACATAGGTCTCTTGCAAGGGGAGACATGGGAAAGTGACATTTGTGAAATATTTTTGGATGTCTGTCTTTTTTTGAAATTTTCCTAGTTCATTCAAAAATATTACATTAATTCTAAGATCTTTCTCATTCACCTGACTGTTAGTGGGCCTATGACATAAGAAATAATTTTTCTTACCAGCCACGTGTATTATAACTGCCAGGCAAGTGTAAAGATACGTAAAGTGGTTAAGATTTTAGTTATGCGACTCTCACTCACAACTTACTTATTGAAAATATTTTAATCTTCTTCAAAACATCGTAATTGACTTTGTGTTACAGTATACCCTTTGGGATATTGTTTGTTTTATATTTTCTTTCATATTTTTTTATAATGTGATAATATGGAGGCACCTTTCTGTAATCATCAGGTGCCTGCTATATCCCTGGCTTACGAGGAGGCTGAGTCTGATATTATGAAGCGTCGCCCACGTAATCCTTTCAAAGATAATTTGGTCAATGAAAGGTAACTGAACCCAGGTGTCAGCAATCCTGTCTTCTCAGCTCTTGCAAGTTTTGGACCGTTTGAATATACTACATTCTCCTTTTAGATTTTCTCTTCTCTGCCTTGATCCCCTGCATCTTTCTGTAGATGATGCAGCTGCTCGAATGTACTTCCCTGTGTGAATGAATAAGCACTTGAGTGTGCCTGCAGATGCTCTTCCATTAAGGGCAGGATAGTGTGTTTCTGTGGAGTGTTTGGTAATCTAGTCTTGTGAATGCAGAAACTCACTGTGCAGTTATGAAAGTAAGACAAGGAAGAGAGGATGGAAGAAAGAATGCCAGTAATGTGACCTCTCCTGTTTTATGTGCTTTTCTATATTCCTGGTAATGTTAGCCTAGTTCTCTCTCTCTCCTTCCTGGAAAAAGCATGCATTTCCAACCTCATAGTAAATTCTTTTTGTCTGCCCAGTCCCAAGGTCAACAGTCCTGCCATGGGCAAGTGGGTAAGTTCCATTTTCCCTTGTTTCTTTTTTTCTGACCTCTTCTTTGGCTGTCACGTTGCACAGAATGGTGCTTTCCTTCCGGTGATTTCTGACTCGAATCTTCCTTTCTCAGTTAAAATGAAAGAAATGACCAACCTGCTGAAGTATTGATGACACCTTTCTATTTGTAGCCCTGGCTAGAATGTAAAGCAGAAGTAAAGAGCTCTGCAGTTGCAGATGACACCCGCTGAGCATCAGAAATTATGTGTATTCATTTTCAGATCCATCTTGTAACTGGAGAAGAAGTGGGAAATGAGGGGTGCAAGGGATGAATTGAAAACATTTGTGATGGTTCTTAACAATGCTCAGCAGGTAGCTGCTAGATATGATTCAGCTTTGGCAATTTGCAGAATTGGTCTCGCTTAGGCTAGTTCCTTACTATGTGACCAATGTCAAATCCTGAATCTCTTGTAGCTACCTGCTGTGTTTTATTGAACCATTGTGTAATTTCAATTGTAACATTCCTTGTGATTTAATTGTAATTTTCTTTTTATTTTATAGATTGTAAAAGTAGATAGAGAATAGGGAATCGTTTTGTTTGTGTTTTGTAAAACATTTTATTTCATTAATTACCTTCAAATATTACTGTAGACATTTTATTTGAGTTGATCTTGGTCCGTGACAAAAGCAGAAGCTATTTTGCTCCAGTTGCAAACACGGCTGTTGCTGTGGTGCATATCTTTGGGCAAGAATGCTGCTGCTTCTGTCAGTCTTGCCAAGTTGACTAGTGTGAGCGCTCAAATTGGGGTGACACTTGCTCCATAGGTGCCTGCCATCTCGCTGGCATACGAGAGCGCAGAGAGTGATATCATGAAGCGACCCCCAAGGGACCCTTTCTTAGATAAACTCGTAAATGAAAGGTACTCAGATCACTGGTGTGCTCCAGAGTGGGTTAATACATTAACTGGTGTGTCAGCATTATCATTACTTCACTAATTGATTTGGTTTGACAGGACCTTTTTTGTAACCATGTTTAATGTTTGTTTTTTCTGGATGACCTTTGGTTTTCCATATTTGCCCTTGGAAGTTTGAGATTATTGTTCTTAGTATAGAATAGGTTGAGATACTAATATAGAATAGAGATACTATATAACATTAAAACTACTAGTGGAGGTTCCCTGACCTTCCCAGAGTAGCCCTAGCCACGCAATGTACAAGAGTGCCTTGTGCACAGTGTTGGCTAACCCTTTCCAGCCTGCACTTGCTGCCTTGAATGTGTTTTTATTTTTCCCCTGCAGTTTGTGTCTTGCATAGACTTAGTGCCCCAGCAGTCCTACTTAGAGTACTTCTTCTGTTGTATAATAGACATTATTTTTAAGTTTTCATTTTGTTTGTTTTTTTTTCATCGTATTGCACCATTTTGTTAGGTCCCTGCCATTTCCCTGGCCTATGAAGAAGCTGAGTCAGATATCATGAAGCGTCAGCCTCGAAATCCTTTCACAGATAAACTCGTAAACGAAAGGTAAATTAACACAATCCTCAAATACTGTTTGCTGGAACTCTCAATGGTGTCGGTACCTTCCTGTCTTATCTGTCTGTCTGCCTGTGGCAGTAGGCAACTGGATTGCCCAGTTGTTTATCGCCACCCTGTTTTCTCTTGAAACTTTCTCCCTGCATTCATGTGTGTTGTTGATTTGCAACCCTTGTTCATGTGTGTTTGTGCGTCTTGTGGCATGTTGATTTACAGGTAAGTACTGTGTTCATTTCTTCTTCCCCTAATCACTTGTCTGCTGCAGTTCATTTCCTCTTTTCTCGGTATCTCATTTTCTTTCTTCGTAGTAATTTGCCATCGCTTTCTTTTTCTCTTAAAGTCTCATCCCTGCACGCCAAAGACACACCTCAGCCATCGCCTCTTCTGGTTCGCACTTCATGCTCTGGACAATCACCACTCCAGCCTCACTTCCTCCTCTTTTTGCTCTGCCTGCCTACTCTTGGTCCCATTTCTCCCTTTGATCTCTCAACTCTGGTATGGCTAGGGTCTATCTCAGGGCATCTTAGAGCTCTGTGCTGAAGAGGGAATATGACCACTGCATGTATTTGACTAACTTTCTACTGTTACTAACACTGCCACACTATAGGTGCCTGCTATTTCTCTGGCTTATGAAGCTCCAGAGTCTGACATTATGAAACGCCAGCCTCGTGACCCATACAGGGATAACCTGGTGAACCGCAGGTGGGTGTCTTTTTCCTCTTCCTGCCTGTAGCTGCAGCGGACTAGCTGAGTGTTAATGTTCCCCTCCCCTTGCATGGGAGCCTCCCTGCCGAGCTCTCCCTCTGGACTGGAGGCCACGGCATCCTTCTCGCCCGCAGACCAGCCAGGTCGCAGCCGGAAGACTCGCACGACAGTGCACCTAGCTATCGGTTGTAGTTGCACGGTAATAGATGTGATGTTGCCATGTGTAGTCACATTAGATGTAGTGGCTACAGTGGCTAACGGTGAATCACTAAGTGTTTAGTTGTGTGAAAAGCCGTGTATTATCTTGTTGATTAGTTTTGATAAGAAAGCTAAAAGTGCAAGCTTTGGTACGAAACACAAAGACGGAAAAGTTCTGTTTGTCCCCAACTGGTCACACTATTAGTGTTTCCTAAATTAGTAAAAGTTTTCATTCACAATGTTATTCATGCTTTCCTTCCCTTTTTTTTGTTTATAGGGATTAAATTATTCAGCCAGAATAGTATTTGATTTTTATTCCTGTCTCAAAAATTAGAAACTTTCTTCTAGTGTTTGTGTTACATTAGCAATATAATATGCCAGTCATAATAGATGGACCTCCTCAAAATATATTGTTGTCCTACTTGAAAGCAAAAAGAAAGAAAAGAAGAAAAAAAAAGTCTGAATTCCTAAAGTAATTTTTTGTTTTTTAATGTGGTTTCCTCTGTATGATATTTGGCTGAAAAAAAAATTTCAGACAGATTTTTAGCAAGTAGATTTATATTTTGATAAGTCTGTACAATTATTTGTGTTCTTAAATTAGAACAAAATAAAAAAGACCCAAATTGTACATTTAGTGTAGTAATAATGCATGTATAGATAAACAACAGACGATAGATATACAATGCAACACAATTAGCATTTAGATATTAAATTTTCTTTACACGTTTGTGACCAGTGGGACTTAGGACTTGACCAGAAGACTAGGCGTACCTGAGCTGTTTTCACAAACAGGCATTCAAGAAATGGCTCTAGTGTCTGTTCTGATTACAGCTGCGTGCTTGTGCTAGATGTCAATAGCTGCTTTAGGGAAATAAGACGCGCCGTATAGTTGCTAGTAGATGCGAGTCGCTCGACCTTACTGGATATGTGATTGCTTAAGTTCCTGGTATGACCATAAGGACTGGAGCAAGAAGGGTGCAAATGTGCCAAAATCTTTTTTGGTGTTTGTCATGATCTGTCTGTGTGGTAGCTTCCCTCCCTCCCAGGACTCATTCAAGACTGTAGCCAGGATTCAAACTTTCTGGAACTTCCAGGTAAATTCACAGCCTCGCATGCTTCCTAACCTCAAAATGGGAGAACGTAAGTATTAATGTTGAATGCGCATGCTTGCTTTTCTTGCCATGGGCATATATGTTGTCTGTGACAAAAGAAGTTGGTGCAAATGCTCTCAATTTTGACATCAACTCAATTCATGTTCAGCGTTACATAACATCACTAATTAACTCACTCACTAATATTTTGAGTGGTGCTTTGTGTGGATGAGCATTTCAAAGAATGAATATTCAGAAATTTTGAGATAAAGTAATGGATTATATTTTCAAAAAAAATATTGCTTTCAATACGCACAGTAATAATGGCTAAAGTGGCACTTCTGCATGGATTAAATTAATTTTTCAGATATATGAATATTTAGGACTTCCAGATACTAAATACATGTTGACTCCTAGGTTGATCTCGATGGCATATGGACAAATTGGCATGATCCAGGCAGCTGCTGGATTCTTTGTCTACTTTGTCATCATGGCAGAGAATGGTTTCTTGCCACTCACACTGTTTGGCATCCGAAAACATTGGGATTCCAAGGCTGTTAATGATCTAACTGATTCTTATGGCCAAGAATGGGTATGATTTTGATACTACAATTTAAATTTTGTGAAGATTTGTTTTTACTCCATTTCATTAAAAACACTTAATGCAATTATTCTTTTCAGACCTACCGTGACCGGAAGAAGTTGGAGTACACTTGCCACACTGCTTTCTTCGTGACTATTGTTATTGTACAATGGGCTGATTTGATCATTTGCAAAACTCGACGAAACTCCATCATCCACCAGGGAATGAGGTGTGTTGTCATTAAAAAAAAAAAAATTGAAATAATAATTGTAAACTTCTTGAAAATAACCTTTTTTTTTATTTGTGTCTTTGTTTTTAGGAACTGGGCTCTGAATTTTGGTCTTGTGTTTGAAACTGCTCTTGCTGCATTTTTGTCCTACTGCCCAGGAATGGACAAAGGCCTTAGGATGTACCCTCTGAAGTGAGTTTTCCTTAGTCTTTTAAAATTGTTTTGTTCCAAAGGAAATTTGAACTGAAGGTATCCAAACTTTTGATTCTTGTTTTCAAATTACTTACATCAAAAAATTGTATGATTCTCTAATAAATAAATATTTAAATGGCATTGTGGAAACACAAGAAGTGATGGTGACAGTGATGCAATTATTCAGTAGTTCTATTTCGCGATCATTTTATCACATGAAAAAAAGGTCAAAAAACCTTCCCTTGGGTTTTAGATGTTTCAAATATATATATTTTTATGAGGATTTCAGATAAGTTAAGTATCAAAATATTAAACACTCTTGTTACTATTGTGACAGATGTCTAACTAAAATGATGGTAAATTAGTTATATTGTAAGGTGGAATTGGATGATGCTCAGAGTGAAGAGAAGATGACCAATACTGACGTTAACTCCTTCAATTTCAGGTTTGTGTGGTGGCTCCCTGGTCTGCCCTTCATGGTTTCCATCTTCATCTATGATGAAGTTCGACGCTTCTACCTTCGTCGAAACCCTGGAGGTTGGCTGGAGCAAGAAACATACTATTAAGCGGCTGTGGGCTGCTGGGCAAACAAGCAGGCCAAGTGGGTGCACGCTGCGATGGGCAACGGGTCCCCAGACTCTAGTGATGGTTGTTCTGTGTCCATCTTCAAAGTCATAGCAACAGCAGCAACAGCAGCAGCAGCAGCAGCATTCTACTAGGAACTCTTGGGCACCGAAATCGTTATTTCTCAAAATTGAAAATAAAAATGAATAAAAAACGCTTCAAGGAGCCACGTTTTAGTAGGCAACCGCTAGGATGGAGTGGACAGACTGCCATGCCCATTCGCGGAAGACGGGCACCGGGCGGTGGAAGCCGCTGTAGGACCTTGTGTAGACAGCTAGTGCAAACCCAATGCTACTGGTACACCCATGAAGCATTTTTTGCTAGACTGTTTCATCATGAAGTATTTTATGAAATAAGAGTAAAAAAATTGGTTGTTATAACTGCAAGATGTATATGATTCTGCTGTTAAATCTACACTTCTAACTTGTTTTAGTTTGTTTAGATCAGGGTTCTAACTACACTGTTGAGGTTGTCATGCAGGGCAGGGAGCAGAGCCTCCTGTGGGCGGGTCTGGGGTGTTATTGGATGACGGGTCAGGGACAGGCTCTCTTAGTGTTCAACTTTGAGAGTCTTAGCCCTGCCCCGTCTCCAGCCGGACGGGTGAGGACATCACTAGCAATGCATTTGTAAAGAAAGAAAACACCTCGACATTTTTGTTCTGTTTTTGTTTTTGGAAAAAAAAATGGAATAGGCAAAAAAAAAAAGCAAATGAAATTTGAATGTTTTGGGATAAGAGCGAGTAAATACCGTATAATTATAGATATATATTAAGATTATATAAACACCTACATACACAGAGAAAATGTTCATTTATTATAGAGTTGTATGTTGGAAAGTTTTAAAAAGATATAAAAATTTTGAAAAAAAAAAAAGAAGGAAAATCTGTCACCAATGTAAACAATTAAATGTACTGCCTTGTACAAACTCAGTACAACCAATTCATCAGCATGAATGCAAGCTGGCGAGCAAGTGTGTGTACTGGCAGCCTTGAACTGAAGGTTGCTCTAACTGCTTGCTGTGTAGCCACTCAGTGTCGAGCCCTTCAGCCATTGCGCGCGAGTCTGTAGTCGGAGACGACATTCCAGAGTTCAGAACAGTTGCCTTAATGGAAGGTGTTTCATGGTATAGAGCACACACACGCATGCATCAACACTCACAACACTTCATACAACAACAACGTTCATGTAAAAGTGTATCAGCTTTATTATATGAGTTTCTTAAAATTTTGTTTTCCAAGCTTGGTGTGAACTGGCCCTGTCTGTTGCATTTCAAGTTGTTGAAACAAAGCAACTAAGTCCATCAACATATTAAATGTAAATTCCCTTGCTGAAGACTGTAAGTTATCTAGTATTTTTCTTTCTTCTTTCAAAATATGTAACATACCTAGAGTCATGAGTTTTAGAGTAGCAATCACAGACAAGGTGTATGGAATGAGCCACAGTATACATAGCAAACAAGTCCCATGCTTGAGCAACTGGATATGTAGACCTAGATGTGCAGTAGGTTAGTGTTGCCGTGTTGTTAAAACAAAAGGTCATTACACAAATCTTACATTTGGTCTTTGTTATTGCTGGGGACAGGGGGGTATGGGGTGCGGCGGGGCTGCACAGACCCCCGCCCAGCCCCTCCCAGCTGGCTGCAGAAGCAGGCTGGAAAGTTGCTTCTAACGGTTTTAATTATTATACATTGTAAATATTTTAAATAATAACTATCCCTCTTGTTTCCTTCTTGTTTCATTCTGACTTTCCGTCTTTTTCTGCAAGCTAGCGACAACTGTAAAAACAAGCAACCAAGTGTCAAAAGTTTGGGTGTTAATAAAATAAATAAATAAACAAAAGATCTTAAACATACAGAGTTGAATATATTCATTGTTTGGAAGTAGTAACCAAATACTAAAACACTGCAATTTAACTTGTTCATAATAGCAGAGCTTCACCTCAACATCTTCAGCCTGATTCCTGTGTTCTGGTGTGATGCTTTGGGGCCATGTAGCTAAATATTTTATATGAAATTCTGATAAATGATAAAAACAGTAGACAATAACCAGAGTTTTTGAAAGGTTCAAGATTAAATTTTTAGTTAGGAATGTTGTGCTGAACATTTTCAATTTCTTGGGCAGGAAAGTTTTCTTGTAATGTGGCATGTTAGAAGTTCTGAGTAAAGACATTTCTTAAAAGTTACTTATTAATGGGGATCTGCCATGCTGTTTGGTTGAGTAACTGGGCTGGAACCTTAGGTGGATGAAGCACCTATTGGCAGTAATTCATTCACTGGTTGTGAGGCTATCTGAACATGCAAACTGGAGGAAGATTCCAGTTGCCAGGCACTGCTATTTCACAATTCATTCACTTCTAGGATTAGGTAGTCCTGATAGGGTCAAGTAGGGGTCTTTGTGAGCACAATACAATCCTGCCAGCATATGCTTGTGAGCAGCAGCCAGTGAGAGTGCCCGTTCTCTCCATGCAGACTGCTGCAAGCTTGGGCTAGCCTGGAACATGCTGCCCACTCATCTGAAACTAGGTTGGCTTTTTCTCTCACAGAGTACAATGTTTTACAGTATTAATCGCGAGTGTTCACAGGGCCAAAGTATAATTGTTTCACAGATTTCATAAACCTAGCAATTTGCTTTGTGCAGGTTATTATAACCAATAAAATATTTTATGTATAAGCAAGTGAAGCCATCCCCACACCTTAATACAATATTATTTTTAACAGAAAGTTCTTGTTTTGAAATTTAAGGGTATCAAGCCCATATGTAATTCTAGACAAGCTTGTGTGTCCCACACCGCTACAAGTGTGGTGGCTAAGTTAGAGCCCCGGTACGATTGTTAGAAGCTAAAGATCATTTTAATGATGTTTGAAGTTTTTTCATTATGAATATTTAACAGTTTCATCATTATATGATGTAGTACAGAATATTTTTTTAATATTATTTCTTGTTTCCAATAAAAGTTCTTTATTTAAAACTATGTGAATATTGTACAATTATTATCTGCTAGGAGTGGATTAAAGATGCCTACTTTGAGGATAAAGAATGAAGGCATTCTAGATTTGAAAATAACACGACTTTTGGCCAGTGTGTACACAGGTAGTTGCAATTGATCATGAAGTATGAAATAGAAATTTTGAAAACCCTAGACAAATTTATATTTCAATGTAATTTCTTTCTGTATTTCATTAATATTTTATTAAATCAACTCTCGTAAAAACATTGAAACAAAAGTTAAGAATTACAATCTAATTTTAAATACCCGGCCTTACAATTTATTTCCTCACAATTAAACATTAACGGAGGTGACTTTGATATAAATTACTCCGCAGACATTTTTTAATATAAAAAAGTTTTAAATTGATAAATATAACCCGATAACTCTGATACGATTCCAAAGTCTTTCTAGGCAGTCGCATGGAACGCACTTTCACAATTGCAGAAATGCCAATATATGAACACTGAATTTGCGAATAAAGGGAGAAAAGGATTTTTCGATAGTACAGTTGGTATAACTGAAGTAGCTTATTTCATGGTGGCTGTCCGGTGGCTCGAAGACTTCTCGTGGTGATTGGGATCGGATTGTATTGTAATGTAAACAATAGTAAGGGATTGGTGGATCGAGGTAAACTCCAGGATCCTTCTTGAATGATGCAGTTCATGTTAATCGTACTTTTGGTTTGAGTCAAGAGGTCGATCTGCTTCTTTCGTTTCGTGTTTATACATACACGAAATAAGTTAGAGGCAAAGTGTAGTGTCTGTCGAAGATTGGTTTGAGTGAAATATAATCAAAGGAAATGACTAGGCACGCAAGAAATTGCACCGCAGGAGCAGTCTACACCTATCATGAGAAGAAAAAGGACGCCCAAGCTTCTGGATATGGTACCAATACTCAGCGCGTTGGAAAGGACTCTGTGAAAGATTTTGACTGTTGTTGTCTTTCATTACAGCCTTGCAGAAATCCTGTCGTCACGTAAGTTCACAATCACAACTCTTAGTAGAGAACTATTCTTAGATTGAATGTGTACTAATCGCAAAACATTTTTCCAGTCCAGATGGATATTTATTTGACAAGGAATCAATTCTTCAATATGTAATTACTAAGAAAAACGAATATAGCCGAAAACTAAAAGAATATGAGAAGCAGAAGAAGAAAGATGAGGTCAGTTTTCCATATTTTTACATGCTTGCATCTTTTGGAAATTTTTACATGCTTGAATGACAGAGTACTATACAAAACAAATGACAGAGTGACAGATTTCTGTAAGAATAGAAAATATATTGGAAATTGGCTTGTCAGAACAAAATGCATTCAAAGTAAAATAGTACCTGTATTAGGAAAGATGTCAGTGATGTTCCTGTTATAAATTATTAATGAAGTTGTCTGTGTAACAAGTAGTAATTGATGAATCAAATTGTAATGGGTATTAGTGATTTCAGTTAGATTGTACCGTAGCAGATAACCGTTGTCAGTTATCTTCTCCTGGCAATGGAGTATTATGATTGAAAGCCCTAAATAAAGAAGAAGAATGCATAGTGAGGTTGTGGAGACAATTTTGAAAGATTCTTAAATCTATGGGAATGTGGGTTTATGCAAATGTAAGCATGTAATGTTAGGTACGTTAGCAGTAATAACGTCCCAAGGGGTTAAGAAGTTGTAACCAGTGAACTGAAAGCTGAAAGACAGAAGTCTTAGAATTAATTTTTTTTCTAAATCTAGAAAGTCTTATTTCTCAAAGAAAAAGCGATTGACCAGTAGTCGATAATGATGTAACTGTGATGATTAAGACATTACATGTAATTCGTAAATTAATTCTTGGTACTTCATTCTTCATATTGAGAATGAATATACCAATTTGGCTGTCAGCGTCATATGATAATTTTGTTTGTGGTCTGTCTACTAGTAAGAACCTTGAAAGTGATAGCAATGAGAGTGATTATGATTCAAAAGTTTCTGTTGGCAAGTCTTGTCAAATTGAACAGCTTTATCATTCCTTTAGAATAGTTGAATTCCCACTCCTTTAGAAAGGAATGAATTTGATGAATGATCTGAGGCTGAAGTGTAGTATATTGTACTACTTTCGGAAGTTGTTTAAACCGACACTTCGCACTGCTCCGGCGGCAACTAGTTTGAATTCTGGAGGCATTCTTTAAAAGTGCTTGCTTATAAAAGTGAATTGGTAACTATGCAGTGGATTGACTAAAGGATGTTTAGAGTTTTTCTGAAATGAAAGTCCTAAGATAAACTTGGCGTATTAACTCTCTCTCTCTCTTCCTCTCTCTCCATCACCACCTCTCTCCCCCTGTCTCTCCCAATACCTGCCTCTCTATTTCCCCCTCTCTGATTTTTTTTTTATCCACACAATTGTGTAAGTCAGGTCAGTTTAAATTTTGTAGTTTGCCTTTTAAATAATGTAAATAAATAAAACAAGATCAAGTTACTCACATCATTTATAACTCAAGAACAGCTGGACAAAATTTTAATTATCTCTGATTTGTTGGATTCATCTCTGCTGCAAATAGCAGAATAACTATTAAAGTATTGGAAAAATTCACGGGGAAAAAAGAACTAATTTAATATTCACGCCAAATGCAACCTGCAACACCCAGCAGGATTTTGACTCTTTATTATTAAATAAATCCTATACAGAGTGTTCTAGGGTATTAAAAACTACACTTTTTAGACCAAAGGCCTCAAAGAAGCTTTTCTCACACCCTAATCTACAGGTGTGATCTTGAACATTCTATTGAATTTTTGCTGGTTTGGCACTTCTTGACCCCCTTTGCTCCCTTTGCTCAGAGGTGTGCAGAATCGTGCAATTAAATGTATATGAGAGGGATGGAGACAGACAGGACAGAGAGGGAGATACAAAGAGAGAGAAGGGGAGAGGGAAGGAGAAAGGAAGATGAAGGGCAAAAAAATCATTGCCAGATTCCACTAGTTAATAATAAAATAATGACATCAAGGAAATAGCTGATTATTACAGATTACAGTATTAATGACGTTGAGGAAAATTGTATTCACAACTATAATGATGCCCATAAGAGATTTGGAAAAATTAGTTCCATGTAAGATGTGTAAATTCCCCACAAAATTGTGCATGCTCATGCTGATAATAATCACTGTATTGAACAACAAAGGGTGGATTTCAATTATAGACAAATGATGTTTTAAACACAAAATCATACAATTATTTTTAATTAGTGCAAAGCACCCCTGAAATTTTTATTATCTTTTTAAAAGACAATGTGCAGTATTTTCTGCACATATTATTTAATTAGTCCTTTTTGAGATATCTCGTATTTTATATCTTTTTCAGGTGAGCAGATAAGTTGAATATTAAATCTTGAAAGGTTGTGGTGTCAGTGGAATTTTACTTTGTTTTTGCTCGTAATTTTTTTCCTATTTACAGTATATTGTAGATTTGAAAAGCTTATCTTTGCAACTGGAAATTATTTTATTTAACATGTTAAATCAAGCAGTAAATATGACGTGGAAATCAAATTATATTATTTCCGTTTAAGAAATGGGTAATTGTTAAGTCTGAGCAGCAGCACTCTTGCAAACAAGCAAGAATTCTCTTGGCAGTTAGTCAGTTCTGTCACAGAGTTTCAACATTTTTTTCAAAGTAGCTTTTTCTTTCTTTTATAAAAACAGAAACAAATTCACTGTTCAAAAATAGAAATTAACAATAAAAACTACAAGATACAAAATCATTCTTACAAATTTAAATTAAAAATGTTACTAGTTCTAGAATTGATCACATCAATTGGACACTGGTTGATGCAAAGAGAGATCAAGTAGTTCATCATTTACTGACTCTTTTCATGGAGTTTTTTTTGTATTATTGGTTGAATATTCTACGAAATGAATGACGCATAATTTTGTGAAATATTTTCATTCAATAATAAATCCTACTGTTTAATATTTGTTCATTTATTTAACATCAAAAAAAATAAAACTTGCATGTGACATTTAAAGGGGGGTACTGTCTTTAGTATCCATAAACAAAACATGAGACCACCTCATCATTTGCTGAATTGATCAAGGGAATCTGGAACAAAGTGAGAGAGCAAAGTTTACACATGTTTTCTCGACCTTCTGAACCCTTATGCCTTTTTTGTTCCTGTCCCTAGTAATATAATTAGAAGAATACCTTTTGTGGTTTCTTTTTAACCTCACTACTAATATAAACTGAATTTTTCCCCATGTGAAATATTGGGTGTTTTGAAATTTCAGACTGAGAAAGCAGAACTTCTTGCTGCTGCCAATGTTACCAAGGTGAATGACTTTCTGAAGACAGAAAAGAACATTGTCAGTGCGCCTGTGAATGCTTTTAAAGAAGGTATCCTTGTTTACTTTTAAATTTATTAGAGGAACATTAGAGAAAATTCTGACACTACAGACTTACAACCTTTTTTATTTATAGATCCTGATAAGGCAGAAAAACCATCAGTATCAAATATGACAGAGGGTCGTGACAAACATCTTCCTAGCTTTTGGATTCCTTCAAAAACTCCAGAAGCTAAGGACACAAATCTCAAGAAACCTGTAAGATAATTCTATTATAGAATTTGTGACTTTAATTATGACGATATTTCAAAATTTGCAATTCTGCCCCACAGGATAAAACTATTTATTGTCCAATGAGTGGAAAACCTTTAAAAGTTAAAGATTTGGTTGATGTAAAGTTCAAAGAAGTTAAGGACCCAGATGACAAGAAAGCACTCATTGTGAAACAGAATCGATATATGTGTCCGATCACTCATGATATTCTTGGCAACTCTGTGCCTTGTGCAGTAATTCGCACGACGTAAGTGGATGATGCTTTCGTACTGTAATAATAAAGCTAAAAGTGTCAGTATCCCAAAAAGTTAATGATTACTTTTTTTTTTTAATCTATCTGACTTATCAGTGTTCACTTTTTTATTTTAGAGGTGATGTTGTGACTATGGAGTGTGTAGAGAAGATTATTAAGAAAGATTGGATGCATCCTATCACTGGCGAAAAACTAACAGAAAAGGATATCATTCCAATGCAAAGAGTACGTACTTCTGATTTTCCATATAAAATTCACAAGATCCAAACCTCCTACACAATTGTAAATACCGACTCTGTATACTCTTCATCAATCGAATGAGACAAGAACAGTTCCAATCCCGTGCATTTGAAGTACAGTAGTTTGTGTTTAAAACATCGCAGTCTCAAAACGACAGAAAGTGCAAGTGGTATTATGCAAGTAGGAAATCTATTACCTTAGACAGTTAGAGCAAATTTTTGGCTTGCTTTGGTTAGAACAAATTTTTGACAGTACACATTCTAATTTGCATGTGACAAATAAATCAAATGATAAGTAATCCCTGCTTCTAGAAGACCATAATATGACTTAAAACCTACAACTAGAAAACAGATTAAATAGTATTATTTTTCTGTTTCATGAATTGGCGATCATGGTTCTACGCAATACATGCATCCCACTGTGGCTCAGTTTTGATTATCGGGGTTGGTGCAGGTTCCTTTCCTGTTGGGGGGGATCAGCATTTAATGCTGATTCCATTTTTACACCCCAATGTTGTAAGTCCTGGGAAATGGGGTGATGATGATAAAACTGACACACTCATTACACACACACACATTATTATTATTATTATTATTATTATTATTAGGATTGAAGTGATGGGGGTGATGATGAGGGATAAACATATTAGGATGATGGTACATGGGATAGTGGGAGGTGTTCGTGGGATTTTGAAACCATTCCAGCATTCACCACCATGAAAACCTCATGAGGATGGCCTACTCGGTGATTGAACCTGGACCTCCTGATTGTGAATCCAGTGTGCTACGCACTGAGCTACTTTGCTCGGTGTTACAATATTTATATTATTCAAAAATGAAATTCTGGGAGAGGTGGGTAAGGGGTCATGGGGCTTCAGCTTTGAGGTGTGGTTAAAAAACTGGGGTGAGTGGGTAAAATTTGTTACATTCATTGATGGTCCCTCTCTTCAGTAGCAACTATTCACTCTGAATTTGCCATGTTAAAGTAACATTCTTATTTTGGTTCTTTCAGGGAGGTACAGGTTATGCAGAGACCAACAAGAACTTAGAAGGAAAACACGAGAGACCTGTTTTGCAGGCTTAAATTAATATTTGTTGATATTTTTGTTTATACATTAATTAGGCTGTACTTATTTTATATCACAAAATGAAATTAAAAGCTTTGTAATCTATCTTGGTTGTGTATATGAATGTCTATTTAATTCATGTATTAAAGAAGCAGAGTAACAGTCAAATTTTTGTGCATATTTTTTTTGGGGAGGGTTATATCCATGCATACTCAGTTGGTATTTCCAGAATCCTATTCATTTTGAATCCTTAACAATGGCAGAAGTGTCACAAGAAAATAATGCGACCTATCTTACAAAAATGATCTTTATTTACTTGCCAAAATAATGTTTTGAGTGTATTTTTGCATTTAACACCCATTTCACGAACGGATAACTTGAGGAAATACACAAACGCATTCAACTGTTAATTAATAAAACTTTGACCACCCACGTTTACAATTCGTTGAGCGGGAGCCCGAAGTATGGTCCCCAGACTGCCTGATGGTATTCGTAGCCAGTCTCGTCGTGTCGAGCCGTGCTGCCATCTCCGCAGTGGGAGTTGGTACCACGTGCTAGCCTTGAGTGACGTCACTGCCGCCAGACCTGTAGACGTACATGGGGCGAGCGGATTCCTGCAGTGAACACGATGTATATATTTCGTTTTGCAGCGAGATTTGACGACCGCGTAACAATTCGCGACATTCGCAAAGTGTTGTTTTGCAGTTTTCTGTAATAAAATGTGTATGCGGTGACGTGTCAACAAAAATAATAGCTGTGCGTCGGCAGTTTTCTGGATTTCACAGTAGCTGGTAAGTACGAAGGCCACATTTATTATTTTGTGTAATTGTTTATTCAAAGACTCAGACAATCACATGCGTAGACTGGTTAGCGAACACATTATATTTGACGTCTTTCACGAGCGAGGGAATACTCGTTGCAGCACAAGAGGAATATCGTTATCCTGCAACGACAGCGAGCGGATTTAGTATTGGATATTACGTAACAGTGTGTCGGGCGGGCGACACGCAGTCGGTGGAGCAAAGCCGTGCGAAGCGGGCCCAGTTGACTGCCCGAAGTGTCAATTGGCATCATTAGCTGCTCGTGCCCGAAGACAGAGTGGCGAGTGCAGGGCGGAGCATATGGCAGCACGCAGCCCTGCGTACCCTTGACATTGCACGTTCCCGCCCGCGCCGCGCCGCACCGCACCGGCTGCTTACTCATTGCCACTCGCTACCGGGAGACGCACGCGTACTTCGCTCGCGGGGAGCTAAACTGCATCAATCGGCGCGTGCGTTTTCCGTCGCCTCCGGTGCGCGCGCGCAGAGCGTTCAAACCACGCGAGCGATCGCCCAGGAGGCCACGAAAGCTGTTTATTCCAAGGTTGCGTCACGGCGCGGTGATGGGAACGTTTCGCAGACCCGTGGCGGCAGCTATTGCCGACCTTGTTGGGCTTCCGCAAATATTTTTGACGGCGCGGGGCAGTTGGCGCGACACGCGCCTGCCACGTCCACTGAGCATGCGGCCGCTCTAACGTCGCTATCGAATCGGCCCCTTCGGACTTTGGACGCGCAGGGCGTTGCGTTGCCGAGGAGCGACCGCGCCGCTACAGAGGCGGCCTTGGCGGGCTCGCTTTACCTACGGCAGAGATGTCCGCCCTCGGGGTTTATCGCGCTCGATAAGGTTGCCTTGCGACGGCGAGCCACGTCGGGGGCGCACTGCTTCCGGGCTTTTTGTGTCCTCCGGCCGGCCGGACCCTTGCGTAATCCCTGCGGCGCGTCTGAGAAACAGCTGACGGCCGCTGTCTTTTGCAGTCAACTGTCGGCGCGGCCGCACACGGTGGCATGAGCGGTGGGGCCGCGCACTTTTCGGGAGCTGACTGGGGACACGTAATATGGGACGTCAGCTGGCGGGTGTAGTCTTCTTACGGTATTTTGCCGTCATAGTGTGCGTGGCCTCCTTTAATTGGATAGATTGTACTTGCAGTTGGCAGTTGTGGTTTTTCCTAAAAAGATCTGAATGAATAGTGATTGTGGGAAGGGATCGAAACAAATTTCTTAAAACAACGATTATAACCTGTCACGATTTTTAGAGAACATTAAAAATTCAGTTGGTCTTAGCTATTTCCCTTGAGAAGTACGAATATTGTTAAACTTCACAAAAATCTTAATTTGTTTACTATATGGTTTTCAGTAATATGATTAAAGTTCAATGAAAAAATATCTGGGTGTGCCTATTTATTTATGGCTACAATTGTCGACCGAAAATCGGGATTCATCGAATAATTCCTGACCAATAAAAGGGTATACGTCATATTTAAGGTATTGAATTACTCTCTGACAACAGCCACTTTTAAAAACGCAAGGAACTTTGTTTACGTAAGATCTCTTTCTAAATTAAACTGACCATCCCTTCCTTGTGAGTTGAGTCCCATTAGTAGATTGCACTCGCTATCAAATGTTAAGGAAAAAGTGACTTGTAAGCAGATTGTGCCCACTCTTAACAAATATGAACGACTTATCGTAGTATTTAGGAAGTTTTAACAGCAATAAAGAAGACATCCTTGAAAACAGTTGTCATAAAAAATCACTGGGCGACGGTAAAAAAATGATGGCTTCATTTTTTTGTGTACAAAACATTGGACTCAGTAGGTATAATAGAAAAACAATGGGGAGATCTGCGAGATAGGTCTTCTGAAACATTTAAACTAAATATATTTCTAAATTGAAAACTTTATTACAATTGATGGTGAATCACACGTGAGCGAACGATGTATTTTATTAGTTTAAAAGTCATACGTAACCTATGTACATAGAAAGTATCGTAATTCTGCAGGAAAATTTGTCTATTTTTCGACAGGAAAGATCGTTTTGAGCGTTCCCGTTGCCGAAAAAAGTGATTTTTCTCGCTTCTAAACCTAGAAAGTTTTTCTCTGAAATTAGTGTAGTCAGAATCAACGTTTTGAGGATTCTTGTTACTATACAGGCAGATGTTCCTTTGAAATTGAAACGGATATTTTATTTTTTTAGAGTACTTTACAAGTATCAACGACGTTTTCAAAATTTTCTAAAAAATGACTACACATTGTCATTTCCTTGCCTTACTTCGTATGGAGAGAAAGTTATAATCGTGCTCCGGTAAACGGCGATTTTTTGACAGAAACTCTTTATTACCGAACCTTGGTAACGGAAAAGTGGATGAATTTTGTTCCTATACAGTAAATCTCTTCGTCTAACATATGTAGTCAGAATCCATGTTTCATCGGTCCTTGATACCGAAAAATCGATTGATGGCAAAACGGCCTTTTACCTGTCCGTGGTCAACACTAGCGCCAAAACAGTTCAGCTGATTTTCTCCTAAATCCTCCCCGATCTGTTTGATGGTACTCGAGGCTTTTGAGAGTTCGAAACGGATATTTTCATTTTTGGTGGTACTTTACATGAAGGACATTTCAAAATTAAAAAAAGAAGGGCACTAAATTTGTTGATTAGATTTTCCTCAGATATCGTAAAGGCCACATAAGACAATGTTGCAGGTCTCTTTTTCGTTAAAATCTCTGATCTTTCGACAATTGCAAAAATTCACATTTTTTTCTATAAGTACATTTATGAGGATATGTTTTTTCCCTCAATGAAATGTGTTCATCAGAAACGTCTTGAAATAGGGTCAAGTTGTATTTTTCGTAAATATGAGTATTTGTGGCGTAATTTTGCCTCCAACAGATAATTTTCCACTTTTTTCAGGAACGTCTCCAAATGTGTTCTTTAACTTTTCCTCGTATGTAGCAAAAAAACCGTGAAGAATGTGGTGCTGGTTCCATTTTCAGCACGGCGCATTCTCTGTACTTGCGAATATTGAAAAAAAAATCGATATTGTATATTCGAATTTCCCGCTGTGGTTTGCGGCGCTGACAGTTCGAAAAACGGCAACACTGCGGTTGGAAATTCTTATGGTTTTTGTCATTTTTGCTGGTTGTCTTCATCGAATGATGTAGATAACATTTTTATGAAAGGAAATTTAGAGTTGCCATAGATACATTTTTCCAATTTGTTAGGGATTTGTGGGTTATACACTATCTTTCACCGCTGACGGCGTCGATTGAAGCAGTGCCACAAAGCCCTGGAGCTCCATCGACGATTGGGCAAATGGGTCGTGCGATTGTTCCGCGGGGCGATTCAATCAACTTTCAATTGTTTACAATCGGTTGGCGGTGAGGTGATCATAGAAAAAGAAGCTAAGCCAAAATGCTAGCAACTGACCTTGACTCTGTATAACTCTCGTGACTAACAGCTAGAAATTAAATGGCCACTCGGAGAATTGATATCAACTCTGTTCTCAAATGATTATTCACAATTAATTATTGACTCTTTCAATCAATTACGCAATTCAAAACCGTAATTGCGTCCGTAAGCCGAGCTGATTTTTTTGACATTAGAAATCTGCATTTACATCAACATTTATTTTTGGTCGACGCCTTCAAATTTAATCATGATTACTTAAGAAAAATATGTAAACAAAATGTACATCTCTTGTGCAGTTAGATGAATAGCCAGCTCTTTCAAACATTAAATTCATGTTAAGTGTCTACAAATATTTTTAATATATAACGTAGTCTTTGAAAGGGTAAGAAATATACAGTGAATACTCGTTTGCACGAACTCGTTTAATATGAAATTTGCGATAATTCGGACAAAAGTTGGGTTCCAATAAGTATACATAAGGTCATTCAATGAACGTTCCTTATGCTTCTCCATCGAATTCTTTATAAATAGTAATCGGCAAAATATGCTCTATAGAAATGTGCCTACATTTTCTTATCTTGGGAGGGGGGGGGCAGGAAAGGGAAAAGTATCATTTAACACAAATGGCAGACAAATTCACGTCATGATCTACTCGGTGCCTTCGGAACGAAAACTTACGAGCGACGGAAACAAAGTTCTCTCTTTCGAACTTCGTCGATAAAAAGTCGCACCAACTTTGAATGCTGAGATCGGATGAGGCGACTCAAGGCATCAACTGATCTCACTCCAGGGTCTCTGACCTGGAGGTCCTAAAGTTCGTGACCCGACCGGATTTTTATACTAGCTACGTTGCTAGATCGAGTCCGGCCGCTGTATGGATGAGAATTCTAGTGGTCGGCTGCCCTAATCGGTAGTTTCTCGTGGTTTCTCTAATGACCGCCAGGCGAATGACGAATCAGTAACTTTAACAAGGGCCGCGCGGGATCTTTCTTTCCCCTTCCTTGTCCTTTCCTCGGCCCATACCCTCACTTACTCTACCACACATGTCGGGAGCTTAGAGTTTGTCCTTGCTGGGGCGGTCCCCGCTGATGGTTGATACCTGGATGGGAAAGACCTCACCACCCGACCGTGTAGGTTGGCGCCAGATCTCACCATCCAGCGGGGGAAGAATAGCCACCTCCCGTGATAAAATCATACACTACTGGACTAACGACCATAGCCGTTGACGCGCTCCGAAATACAAAATAATCAGTGAATCAATCGAATTAAGACAAAGGTGTGCTTTGCAGTTGCAGAGAATGAAAGAGTACAGGTCACATCATGATAAATGTAACAGTAACAGTCAGCGATGTCGAATTCAAAGCAGACTGAGAAAAACTTCGTCAGTGTATTCATTCTAGAAACTGGTGTCGATTACGTTCATATTGACCGTTACATAACTTATAATACATACCACATGCGTAATGCATGAGAGAACTTGTGAACAAGGCCTTCAGAAGTGGACTGTCGTGTGACAAGAGTATCGCCGCGCAGCCTCATGAAGCAGCATAATATCCCGAACCACTACCACC